CCTCAGCCTCCTGAATAGCTGGGACTACAGGTGTGTGCCACCCCACCCAGCTAATTTTTTTTTATATTTTTAGTAGAGACGGGGTTTCACCATGTTGGCCAGGATGGTCGTGATCTGACCTCGTGATCTGCCTGCCTCGGCCTCCCAAAGTGCTGGGATTATGGGCTTGAGCCACTGCACCTGGCCAAATCTGTTACTTTTCTACTGAGATAAATAACAACTGCTGTTTGGATCTATCAGTTTGTGTGTGTGTGTGTGTGTGTGTGCGTGTGTGTTTTGCAAGCCAGCAAATTTATATTCATTTCATGGCCAAAGTACTAAAGTAAAGCTAGAGGATCTTTGTGTGTGTATGTGTATGTATGTATATATGCATGTGTATATTTAAAGGAATGTTATGTTTAATTAGCAGCTAAATGTTTTAGTTTCCCTCTAGCACACCAAACTTTTTCTCCTTATACCTTATAATGTAAATTTTGCTATCTAATCTTCACTTGAGTTGTTTCTTTTAATATGGAAATTTAGGGCTATTTAGCTAACTACTGTCTAGGGTGATGCAACATATTATTAAAAAACGTAAAAGTCTAAAATAGAAAATAAAATAAAAAGTATTTTATAAATCTATAAAATAAAAAGTATTTTATAAATCTATAAAATACTTCTATTGGAATGCCTAAATACATCTATATATTAATGTGTGTGTATACAATATTTTCACCATGAAAAATATATAAAGAACTTTAATGGAGTGGCTTACATAAAGTACTCGAATACTAAGAAAAACAAACAGAAGACTAGTCAAATGCTCTTTCAAGTTCGTTTGATTTAAGTAAGATCTTTACAAAATATGCCAGCATTAAAATTATTGGTAACATACTATCAGCAATGTCTTTAGAATTGTTAGCAGTTTGTTTGCATCTGTTGATCATGTAGTTTCATGTTTATTCCTGTAGAATACTATAAGATTTGCCATAAGGGCTATAAACAATAAAGCCCAGCCCAAAACAGAATGATCTTTGCTTGTATATGCTTATAAAATATTGTTAGCTTAAATGAAAACAACTAAATACTGAGTTATTGGTATAAATACCCTTTAACCATAAGTTTTATTACTAATTTATTACTAAAATTAGTAATTTACTTTTATTCCTAATTTATTGCTAAAATTCACAGTTATAAAAATGGTTAATAGGAATATACCTTAAATATTTGTATCATAGTTTTTTATAAATTAGGTAAACTACAAGATTAATCGAGTAAGTGTAATAGAATAAATTCTTGTAAACAAACGTCATAATGTAACCAGATTAGCTGCGACTGCATTTTAGGTTCTTGGCCTCTCTAACCCCGAAGAATGGGGAAGGGGCCTTGGTGTTGCAGTGAGTGATACAGCTCAAACTGGACTCATGGACCCAAAGAGTGTGTGGTAGTGCAGTTTATTAGGCAGAGTGAAAGGACAGTTTCCACGCCTTGGAAGGGGACCCAGAGGGGGTGCCACTGCAGGCTCCAATGGCTGCAGATTATACCTCTAAGTTATTCCCTCCCCATTCTTGTTTTTGTGGAATGAGAGGGGTTTTTTTCAACCTCTCTCTAGATTAATTATCTTTGAATCCTTTACCAGATTGGCTACTGTTTTCAAACCCTGAGTTACTGAGCCTCTGCTTCCAGGAGCCAGAGGTGGGAAAAGTTTCTGACCTTAAACAAAGCCCCTAAGAGCCAGAGATGGGAAAACTGTAAATAAAGCCTCTAGCCAGCCAGAGGCAGGAAAACTGGGAACAAAGCCCCTGGCCTGCCAAAGGCAGGAAAAGTGAAAACAAAGTCCCTAGCTAACCAGGGAAGTTCTTCTAACCCAGTCCCTCAGTCCCCTGAGCAGGAAAGCCCAACTGCTGTTGGAACATGGGTGTCAATCGCCCCAACTACTTATTGCTGAACTAGGATATAGAAGGAGCCCTGCAATTGAGGTTTCCTACAGAGGGGAGTCTTCTGGGGTTGCAGGTTGATCCAGTGGTCCATGATAGAAATCATGAGCCAAGGACATTTGGGGTTCCATTTGCAGGACCATTTGTAGCTTCATGGCCTCAACTCTGAAAGAAACTAATTTGACAAAGTTAAAGATGACAGGCCCAAAGCAAGCAATAATAGGATGATTATTAAGGGGCCTGGGAGAAGGGAGAGCCAGGGTAGCCAGTAGTTAAGCAAGCTCCATGATCCTACTTCTTGGAGGTTCTTAGCCCTGCATTCTGTTCGGTCCCTGAGTTCTTTAACTTTGTTTAGGACGATACCTGATCGGTTTACAAAGTAACAGCATTCTTCTCCTAAAAGACAAGTTTTTCCTTTCTCTGCCATTAACAGACCCAGTGCTCTTCAATTTTGAAGAACCCTGGCAGTTATAGAGTTAAGCTGCTTTTGTGGAGTTGCCAGAGAATCAGCAAACTTTTCCATGTCATTATTTAATTCCTGGGATAGCTTATAGTAAAACTGAGTAGAAGTAGTAATTCCTCCAAAGCCAGTACTAAGCCCACCTATTATTCCAGCCCCCACTATAAATGGAAGAATTGGGGTTCAAGTATGGCATGACCTGGGCAACAGAAGACTCTGCAATTGAGAATCGGTGAAAATGGTCATAGGGGAACACTAGGAAGGAGAGGAGGCATATTTCCCCTGGGGTATTGTTTAGAGAGTGGTAGGCTAAGGAGCCACAAACAAAGAATAAGCCCAGTGCTATGCACTAGAGGCCCAGGGGTAAGGTAATACGGTTTAGGCATAGACAAGCATTGTAGTTGTTAGTAAAGTTCACACAAGTGAAGTTTAGGGTAGATGGAATTTGTAGATTGGTGACCAAGGGACCTAAAAGCCCCATATGATTTGAGGGTAGGTTAGTTATATTCCATAAGTATGGAACTGGAACTGGGATATATGGTTTGAAGCATAGTGGAAGGCACATCCAACCATCAGCTGGGTTATTGGAGGAGGCCTCACGCTTTCCTGTGAGGGTGGTGTTAAATAAGTTGAGCATACAGGAGTGTGTGCGAAGTGTCTCATGCAGCTTAGAAAGGTCCAGGCCCTTGTAGGGACTCGGGGTACTTTGTGGTTTGCCTAGGCTAGAGATTACTTCCTTGAGATGCTGTTCCTGTGCCTGATCTTGAACTCCGTCCCCATCTGCAGTCCCAACGTGGGTAAAATGTGTCCAGCAGGTGGTGGTTCCCTTAGCAGCTGGACAGTTAGGCCTGGTTATTGTTCCTGTCCATATATGAGTACGAGTTGTATGTGCACAGGGAAGCAGTTGTATAGAAATTTTTGTGCATATAAGTATAGGATATAAAGGAGGCCTGTCAACCTAATCCTCAAGACCAACCAGAGAGTGGACTTGTTGCCTGTCCAATATTGTTTCAGTTGTAACCCCTTTGGATGCATTTGCAGGAGGGATGGGAGTAAAGCAGGGGACAGGCAGCAAAGAGGATAATGAAGACCACAAGTGAGGTCATAGTAAGGGAGTGATAATATCAGAAGGAGAGAAGGAGAGCTATTAGAAGTGTAATTACACAGAAAGCCATGAATATGGAGAGTCTATGGGATGTGGGCAACCTTAGGAGCAACCACATAGAGTCTGGTTGCAAATAGTAAAGTTAAGAGTGATATTTCTGTCAATGCCAGCATGTTAGACTCATGAGAGCTACTTTTCTGAGGGTCTTGTCAGAAAAACAACTGCAGACCCTCTAATGGCTTGAAGGGCAGCCTCCTGGAACCTCAGGCTGTGGAGCGGAGGGCTTATGATCTTCTTCAGGAGGCATTCAAGGTTTCAGTCAAGTGTGATGGATCCATGAGTCAATTCCCACCTTACCTGCTGTTGGTATAGACAAAATGACTGAACATGGTACTTCCCAAATGGACTTAGGGAGGGAGAGTTGGAGGGGAAAGGCTTGACAAACACTAAATCTCCAGGGCAGAATAACTTTCCCTTTTCCCCTAGGGTGTCCTTCAGGTAAGGTCTTAACTGCCTGTTGGTACTTAGCCAAGGAGGTTATATCTTTTATTAGATCTGTTGTTTCTTTGTCTAATACAGGATCATTGGTGAGAAAGCGTCATCCATAAAGCATCTCATAGGGACTGAGTTCTATTTTCTGAGGAGAGTTTTGAGCCCTTAAGAGTGCTATTGGTAACAGAGTGAGCCACGAGAGGAGGGTTTCTTGTGCCAGTTTTTTTAAGTGTCTCTTAAGAATTTCATTCATTTTTTTCAACTTTTCCTGAGGACTGAGGCCTCTGAGCATAGTGGAGATGATATTGTATTCCTAAGGCTTTGGAAATTCATTGGGTTACTGCAGCTGTAAAGGCGGGGCCGTTATTATTTTGAAGACAGTGAGAGAGTCCAAATCTAGGGATTATTTCATTAGTCAGGACTCATTACTTCTTGGGCCTTTTCTGTCTTACAATGGAAAGCCTCAACCCAGTTTGTGTAGGTATCTGCACATACTAACAACAGTGGACTGAGACTTAGGCATATGGGTAAAGTCCACTTGCCAGTACTTACCTGGGTAATGACTGGTTACTGTTCCCTAGGAGGAACTTTGCGATGTGCCAAAGGATTGTTTTTCTGGCATATTTTACATCCTTTGAGTATTTGTTGGACAGTCTTGAAGAGACCTTTTTCTGTAAATATAGTTTTGCCATTCAATATGTATTTTCTATATCCATATGGAATGTATGATGTAGGGTTTTAAGTATTTTCTACCAGCTAGCAGCAGGTTGGAGTACTTTTTCCTTCCTCAGGAGCTAGCCATCCTGAAGGATGAAAATTATGTCCCTGGGAGGTTGCTCATTCTACCTCTTCTGATGGGTATTGAGGTCTAATCCCCTGGAGAGGGTTTTCCCATATTTTAAAGGTTCTTCTGTGAAATCTTGTTTAGCTGCCTTTTTGCCTCTGCGTTAGCTCAGAGATTGCCCTCTGCTTCCTTTTCATCTGCTTTATGGTGGCCTCAGCAGTGCAAGACTGCTACCTCTTTGGGTTGTTGGACAGGCTGTAATAAGTCTAAAATTTCTTTATGATATTTAATGGGAGTTCCTGCTGAGGTTAATTGCTCTCTTTCCTTCCATAAGGCAGCATGAGCATGGACAACCAGGTGAGCATATTTGGAATCTGTATATATGTTTGTTCTCTTTCCTTTTCCTAATTTTAGAGCTCGAGTGAAGGCTACTAGTTCTGCCAGTTGGTCACTGGTTCCTGGAGGAAGGGGATTATTTTCAAACACCGTTTGATCACTGACTACTGCATATCCTGCCTTCTGAACTCCATTTCCCATAAATGAACTTCCGTCAGTATAGGTTAAGGTGAGGATCGGCTAGAGGAGTTTCTGAGAGATCTTCTCGGGCTGCGTAGTTTTGGGCTGTGACCTGCTGACAGTCATGTTCTCTGCCCGTTCTTTGAGAAGAAAAGTAACTGGATTGAGGGTTGCACATGTATGTAACTGAAGTACAGGCCCTTTGAGCATTAAGGCCTGATATTTGAGTAAGTGGTTGTCAGACAACCATAAGTCTCCTTTAGAGGCCAGAATTCCTGCTACATCATGTGAAGTCCATATGGTTAGATCTTTTCCCTGAACTATTTTAATGGTTTCTGAGACCAATATAGCCACCGCGGCTACTACCCACAAGGAGTGTGGCCAGGCTTTTGCTACTACATCTATTTTCCTTACTTAGGTATGCCACTGGTTGTGGTGTGGTCCCCTGAGTCTGGGTGAGAAGCCCAAGTGCCACTTCTGACTTTCCCATAACATATAAGGAAAAGTCATTTCTGTAGGAAGGCTTGGAGCTGGAGATTGCAGTAATGCCTGCTACAGGGTCTGAAAGGCTGCCTCAGCCATAGGGTCCCATTGTATTAGATGGGTGTTAGCTTCTTGGATTTCCTTAGCGTGTATAGGGGTTTGACTATTTCACCATATCTGGGAATCCTCGATAGGCAGAAACCGGTTATTCCTAAATACCCCCACAGCTGTTTTAAGGTTTTTGGATGGGAGAAGTCTAGTGTGGGTTGGAAATGTTCTCCATCAAGGGTCTAAGTGACTTTGGATAAGACAAGTCCTAGGTATTTTATCTGTTGCCTACAAAGTTGGGTTTTGGTTTGGAAACCTTATATCCATAGGTGGCCAGAAAGTTTAGGAGGTTCTGGGTGGCCTGTTGACACTGGGTTTTGGAGTTAGCAGTTAAAAGTAAGTCATCCACGTATTGGAGGACCAGCCTACCTGGATGTGAAAAATGACTAAGGTCCTGAGCCAAAGCCTGGCCAAACAGTTGAGGGCTATCTTGAAAGGCCTGGGGTAACACCGTGCAGCTGAGCTGAGAAGTGTGGTCTAAAGGGTCTTCAAAGTTGAACAGAAGCTGGGAGTCAGGATGTAACGTAACACAGAAAAAAAGCATCCTTAAGGTCCAGGACTGTAAACCATTGTGCCTCTCCTGATATTTGAGAGAGGAAGGTGTATAGGTTTGGTTCATCTGGGTATAAATGGATCACTACTTCACTGATAAGCCTGAGATCTTGCACAGGTCTCCATTGTCCATTAGGTTTTTGTATTCCTAAAATTTGAGCATTACAAGGGCTGTTACAGGTTCTTACTAGACTCAGCTTTCACATTTTTTTACAATGTGAAATGTAACCCCTTTTTGGTCTCTGGTCTTAAGTGGTACTGTGTTTAGTAAGGAAAAGAGGTGGGATCCTGTAGCTTTATTTGAATTGGGCAGGCATTCTTTGCCTGTCCAAATTGTCCCTCCATTGCCCAAACCTTGGGATTAATCCCTTCTTAAAATAATGGGCAGCAGAGAGGGATCTGCTCCCTGATATTCATATAGAGAATGGTTCATGCTCTAGCTAGCTGGTCCCACCCTAGTAAGGGAGTGGGACTTTTGCGCATGATGAGGAATGCATGCAAGAAGAGTACATCTCCCCAGTTACAGCTTAGGGGCTGGGAAAAATACCGGAGACTGCTTGTCCTAGGACTCCTCAGGTAGTTACAGACTTGGAGGACAACCATCCAGGACAGGAGAGCAAAACTGAGAAGGCCGTGTCAGTGTCCAAGAGGAGATGGAACTCCTGGCCCTCTGTGGTTAGCTTTACCCAGGGGTCAGTGAGGGTGATGGCATGTGCTGGTGTTTGCCCTGCACACCCTCATTCCTGCTCTTGGGTCATCTGGTTAGCCATCTCAGGCCCTGGGAAACTTCTTCCCTGGGACAGTGTTTCTTTCAGTGGTCCCCTTGACACAGTGGGCAAGGATGAGGAGGTGGTCTATTCCTCTTGGGACAATCTTCCTTAAAGTGTCCTGGTAGGCTGCAGTGGTAGCAAGCTGTGTCAGACTGGCAGCTAACCCAAGCCTTTCCCCTTTCTGAGCCTCTTAGGTCTGCCTGCCTAAGGGACATGACTAGGGCCATGGCCTTTTTCTTGTCCTTCCTGTCCCTTTCAGCCTGTTCCTCCTGGTCTCTGTTATAAAACACTGAGGTTGCTAGATTTTGTAATGATTCTAGGCTTTGTTCTGGCCCTAGGGCCAGCTTTTGAAGTTTTCTTCCAATGTCCATTGCTGATTGCATAATAAATTGGTCTTTTAGTGTTAGCTGACCCTCAATGGAGTCTGGTGACAAGGAGGTATCTTTTCTTAAGGCCTCTCATAACCACTCAAGGAAGGCTGTTGGGTTTTCTTCCTTTCCCTGAGTTATGGTGAATAACATTGCACGGTTCATGGGCTTCTTCCTGGTCTGTCTTAATCCCTTAAGTATGCTGGCCAGTAGGTGCTTAGGATTCTAGGCCCCATGTTCTGAGTCAGGATCCCAGTGAGGGTCTGACCTATGGATGGCTGTTGGCCTGTAGGGAATCTATCCTTTTCCTCTTGCATCATTTTGTCATTCACTTGACTAAGGTAGCAAGTGTCCCTAAACTTTTGAGCTGCGATTAGAGTGGCATATCTCTAATTACTGGTTAAAGTCTGACCAAGCAGTAACAATCTAGTTCTAAGGGTTGACCCAGGCCCTGTAGAACAGCTATGTAGTTGTCCAGGTCATCTGAAAATTTTCCTAAGTCCACCTTGATTTTCTTTAAGTCAGTAAGTGAAAAGGTAACATGTACTTTGGTTGGCCCAAATTCTCCTCCTAACAGTCTGTAGAGGGCAGAGTTGGGGCATCTTAGTAGCCTGTGGTGCCTTGGTCATTTCTGCTTTCCCTCATACCTCTTGGGTCATAGGAGTTGGGGAGAACCTGTGAGTATCGGTGGAAGAAGGAGCCACAGAGTCTTGGGTATGGGGATATTCCTGGGGGGTGGCCAGTAGGACGTAAGTTACAAGCCTTACATAGCTGAGGATTATCCTGTAGAGAAAAGAAAACTTGCACATAAAGGACTTCAATCTATTTACCTTCCCTCCTACAGAAAAGGTCTAATCGTAGAAGGGTGTTACAATTTATACTTCTCTCAGGTGGCCGGGATTTTCCATTCTGAAGAGAGTATTGTGGCCAGGCCATGCTGCAGAAGAAGATAAGCTGCTGCTGCTTCTTCAAAGATTGTGGGTTACTTTGGTCCCGGTTATCCAGGATATACTTTAAGGGTGATTTTTGCCTTGGGAAGGTAGCCCCCATCTGAAATTGAACACAGGGATGCCCACATCCCTGGTTATCTCTTGCAACTGCCAGCCCTGGGGCATCCCCCAGTTGTACAGCACTTTGTAGTTTTTCCTGCAACCTAGATGCATGATCATCTCGTGGGCCTTTCCCATTTGCCAAGTTTATTCACAACTGCCAGCGTAATGGCCATGTCCTCACTGTCTATCTTGGCCACCTTAAAGGACATGGGGGACTGTCAGGTTCAGTGGCCCTGTACCACATGTCCTTGAAGAACTAGGCCAGTGAGGGTGATGGGCACCATTTATATTCCCTAGCAAGGGTCCAATTAACATAGGCTTGAACATAAAACTGCCCCAGTGGATAAATTTCTTGAGAAGGGTCTCTAAACATAATAAAGAAGGTAATGGCTGGCCACAAGGCCAAGGCCGGGACAACGCCCTCTGAACCAAAGTCTTTCTCCCCACTTTCCATTATAGGAGTATGTGCTATCACTGTGGGCCCTGTAATTAATTATTTTAGTCTAAGACCAGGTCTGACTGGTGCCCTAGATGGAGAAATTCTGCAGTACAGAGGGCCAATCCTAAGCATGAGTCATTGTAAGTTTTAGGATCCTGGCACCATTCTGCTGGATTGAGAAATTGTGGGTGACAAAAAATAAAATATCCTATAGCCTCCAGTACCCACTGATAGACCCTGGCTCTGTTAGGACATAACCTAGCACAGTGGACAAAGGAAAGCAGTCCTGTGTATTTAAACTGTAGGTGGTCCTCATAGGTGTAGGCCTGAGGGCACTATGGGCAAGGGTCCCTGGACTGCTACCCCAAGAGCCCCAGGGTTCTACGAAGAAGGGTAATGGCATCAGGTATAGGAAATATTTTAGAGGAAAGAGCCTGAAACAAGTTTTCCTCATGGATATCTGATCAGGGTCTGAAAGACTTGGTGGCACTTGCATAGGCAGCTGTCTCTTAGGGGGTCTAAGCAAGGCTGTAACCTCAACCGATTGAACCAGGAGTTCAGGACCACTGCTCATTACCCCTAACGGACTCTTGGGTTAGCACAGAGAAAGAAAGAGCGGAGACAGAGAACTGATTCCAGGCAAACCAGTGCTCCAAGTTCTGAAGAGCAGGGGCTGTTTGTTAGAGATCACTTTCCCAGAAAGCCTGATAGATCCGTCTTTTAGTCAGGCAGCCACGCTTGTCCCTTTTAACCAGCCAACAGATGCCCAGTAATTTACCTACTTACTAATTTAGAAGAAGAAAAAGGACAGATTAGCAAGTGAAAGGGGTCCAGAGTTACCACGCTACAATTCAGTCCTCCCAGCTGGCTCGCCAACAGATGTAACTGCAATAGCTGTGACCGGATTTTAGGTTCTTGGCCTCTCTAACCCTGAAGAATGGGGAAGGGGCCTCCGTGTCACAGTGAGTGCTACAGCTCAAACAGGACTCATGGACCCAGAGTGTGTGCTAGTGGTTTATTAGGCAGAGCAAAAGGACAGTTTCCACACTGCGGAAAGGGACCTGGAGGGGGCGCCACTACAGGCTCCAGCACTAGAGAGTATACCCCTGAGTTATTCCCTTCCCATTCTTGTTCTCGTCCAATGAGAAGGATGTTTTCAACCTCTCTCTGGATTAATTAATCTTTGAATCCTTTACCAGATTGGCTACTGTTTTCAACCCTGAGTTACTGAGCCTCTGCTTCCAGGGACCAGAGGCAGGAAAAGTCCCTGCCCATAAAGCCCCTAAGAGCCAGAGGCAGGAAAACTGTAAACAAAGCCCCTAGCCAGCCAGAGGCAGGAAAACTGGGAACACAGCCACTGGCCGGCCAGAGGTGGGAAAAGTGGAAACAAAGCCCCTAGCCAACCAGGGAAGTTTCTCTAACACAATCCCTCAATAATTTAGGATCTAAGGTTATTATTTGATATGAAGTATCGGGTAATTTCTAATTTAAAAATTATAGAAAAACATTTTTTAACATTGTTATTAGAGGTTAACTATCTTTGTCTAATCCAAACCTTATTTAAGGATTATGTATAAAACAAGGTAAAAAAACAATTAGGAAATAAGAGATGTAAAGAAAGCTCAAGTT